ATACATACAATTCAACTAGTCACACACATTAATTTATATCTGTCTACACACTCATCTACACATACACCCATCCCCATCTTCTCATTTGGATGAATCTCCAGAGAATTATGCTAAGAGAAAAAAAACTAATCCAAATATCCAAATATGTACTATATAATTTCCCTTTATGCAACATTTTTAAATGATGAAATTTTAGAAATGGGCAACAGATTAGTGGTGTCCAGGAGTGAGGGATAGGAACTCAAGAGAGGTAGAGGAAGGAAGATAGATATGGTTATAAAAAGGTAACATAAGGGATCCTTATGGTGTTGGAATGGTACTTAGTACTTTGACTAAGGTGGTGGTTAATATGCCAATAGTAAAATTCAATAGACCATAATACACACACACACACACACACACACACACACACACACACACACGTAAAACTTGGTATTCTGACTTCAATCTGTGGATTATACCAATGTCAATATCCTGGTTGTGATATTACAAAAACACTAGAGTTTTGCAGAATGTTACCACTGCAGGGAACTAGGCAAGTTTACAAGTATCTTTATATCATTTCTTTCAACTTTATTTAAATCTACAATTATCTCAAAAATTGCAATGAAATGCATTTATGTCACAAACAGACTTTAAAAATTAACATTAATAATCTCTGGGTGCAAGATACATTTTAAAGTTGTAATAGAATGAATCATGATAAAGTGCCCCTAGGAAAGTGTAAACTTCTGCAAATAGATCTAGTCAATTTCAGTGCATAGACAGAGAGAGACTTGGCTCAGCATCAAACCACAGCAGCACAACTGAGATCTGGGGACATGATGACAAACACAGACCAGGCATCCACCAAAGATTTAAGCAACAAACTCTGAGGCTGAATTACTTTATGTCTCTCTTCATGCGGAAGCACACACATAGGAAAACACATTTAGGGCAGCTACATCATGTTAATGACCATGATTTACCCTCAAAAGACTCCGTTTTACTTGTGGAGAAATTCTAAATCAGATTCATTGATAAACAAAATAATCTCTTCCTTGTGTTAAAATAAAATGTACTTCTTTATGAGCATCACAGGCTACATCTCAGTGTTCTTATCTTCTTTGTACAGTATATTCCATATTTCATTTTTGACGTGTTCATGTTTGGATATATACACTGGATAAGTAAATGTCTATGAATTTTTGGGACAATACTTAATGGGATTATAATGGCACAGCAAGTTAGAAGATCTGTCTTATGTCAAAATTCCTTATAGTAAATGACTCTACAAAGTGGACATGTATTTTCAGCTTAGATCAAAACCAAAAGTGAGTGACTCTTTCCACCTAAAAGGTTTAAGCATCCACCTCCAATTGTTGGAGAAGGCTTGTTGTTATCCTGGGGACACAATTGAAAAATATATGCAGTCAGTTGGTCAGAGACAAGGGTGTAAGTTAGTCAAATTTCAGAAGAAATCTGTCAAGATTCTCTTTGACGTAAATATGTAGATACAAAACAAACAGTCAAAGAGGAAAGAGAAGAACAGGCTTCATGCGTCATCCAGGAAGGACATACTGGCCACACTGCCGAGAACGCACAATCTGAAAGGATTATTTTCTCAGCCACATTGGTAGAGGGTTCTGCAATAACTAGAGAGTGACATGGGAACCTACCGTATAATGCTATGTACTTGTGCTTTTGTTACAATAAGTGAATTGTGTTGTAATTTATTCAAGAGGACCAACTAGTACATCTCAACAAGGGCCAAGAGACTGAGACCCTCATGGTGATGTTTTCTATCGGCATTTGGGCTGGGGTTATTGTTTCCTGGCTATTATTCTGGGCACAGTATGGATAAACTTGGCTGCACAACCTTTTCGCAGAAGGCTGCATTCACACAACTGATTTTTTTTCTCTTGAGATAATTCAGTTTTCTATTACTAGTTTAGCAAGTCATTATAAAATTATTGGCTTGAAACAGCATAAATTCATTATCTAACAATTCCATGAATCAACATGGCTGTCATTGGGCAAGAATTGAGGCGTCAGCAAGGGGGAGCTCCTTTCAAAAGCCCCCAGGGAGAATCTATTTTCTGGCTTTCTTAGATTTTAGAGAAAACCACATTACTTGGCTGGTAGCCCCCTTCCTATGTCTTTAAAGTCAGCACCAGCTAGTTGGGTCCTCTTCATGATTCATATTTCTTCTGCTGTTGCTTCTTTTTCTCAGGAACTTGGGGAAAGGCTCTTCACATTTGAGGTCTCTTGTGATCAGAGTAGGCTAATTGCCTCAAATATATAATATTCTGCTTTCTCCAGCATATAGCAGAGTGAATATACAAACCACATACTTAAAACAGTAAATTGGTTAGCCTTGCCTTTATCCCTCCAGCCAAATGGAAAATCCAGAGGAAATCAGCAGTAGGATCAACCATGGGAGGCTTTAATCTTTATTCTCTTCTTGATGGCATCCATTCTTATTATATTGGGTTGTTCTAGTCATAAAAACAGACAAGTGGAAACATTAGAAATGTGACATAGAACACAGAAGGTAGAAAAAGGTCCTGTTGAAAACACAAGAAAGACGGGAGAAATCAGCATCTAAAGCTGATTTGTAATTGACTTTGACCAGTTGAATATGCTAATCTTTCTAATTTTATGTGTGACTTAAACTATGCATATAGATCTTTTTGTTTTAACTACAGAAAAACAGAACAAGTCAATTGATACTCTCACTGACTTCCTTGTTATTTGATACTAATTGGACATGCAGTGAAGGGAGGCTTTCAGTAAAATTTAAACCACATAATATTTAAGCCATAAACTATGGAAGTTTTCAAATAAAGAGTTGTCACCACATTTCATATTTTGCCCGGGCTCCTAGGATACTGAGAATGAACAAGTTCCCCGTAGACACTAGAAGATTCATTCTAGTGGTTTTCTTCAGCAGGGGATATCTTGTGTAAGCTTTCCTGAGACAGGAAAGATGTAGTAGATTCTGAGTCAGCAATGACCCCTAACCATATGGCCTGTGAACGAGTGCCTTGTTTACAAGATTCGGTGATGTCAAATGGAATGACAATAGTTTTTTTGATGACTTATTTACACAGGAGGATAGGAGATGTTGGGAGAATAGCCACAAAAGGCCCATGTTGAGAGACAGCATTCGGTTTGTGGGCGTATATCAACAGCAAAAGAAACATGAGTCACAAAGTGGACCCACCTACCAGGTCCCAGGAGTCACCATCAGGGGAATCACGATGAGCATATGAACACAGAGGCGCTTTCACTCACACATGCAGCAGAAGTCCAGCCTGCCTTCTGGGCCCTGCCCTGTGACTTCCTGTCCAGGCTTTCCTCAGATTAGCTTTGGGTGAAGAGATCATAATTAACAGAGAGTGTTGATGTTTATAATTAATGATAATAATGATCAATTTAAGACTCAGCCAGGCTCCAGGAGGTACTGACCTCCTAGAGGTGGATGGAGCTAAGATACAACCTTGAGATTGTTGCAGGGTAAAGTGGGGATGTGGTTAAAAAGGTTTCTTCAGGATACAGTCAGGTCCATCTCTCCCATGCCAATCTGTCCTGGCCAAGCAGCCTCCAAGGGCTGCTCTATTCTTCATTATGTTTGTTTCCACCTGGGCACACTAGTTCAGTGACTGCACTTCAGATGCTACTTCCCTGTGGCTTGGAAGTCAGTGCCAAAAGTGTTGCTCTGAATAACAGTAAATCAAGGGAGTAGAAACACTGTGCACACATATCACATAATGGGGCTAGTAAACACACACATCTATTTTAAATTCTTTTTTAGTTTTGAATTCTAAAACATGAGTACCTAATTTCCAACTTTTTTTAAAAAAATCATAATACATCAACTTACACTCTGGATAGATTTAGGAGATCTTATTCTAGGTTGAGAAGAAATTGCTGTGCTGTTCTTACACATTTTTGGTACAAACTAATTTTTTAAGTATTTCTTGACTGCTAACTTGGCAGAAAGAAAAGTGCACCCAATTTTGTAATCCCCACAAGGAAGCATGATTCCAGACCAAATTTTGAAAATCCAACTATACTTTATATTAATAGCTTGTTTATGATTCTTTTTATTGACTGGTTCTTTCTTTAAGCCAATAAGAGAAAACATCTAACATTTCTCATCTGGAGCATCATTGAATGGTAACTCAAGGCCTATTGGCTTAAAATAGAAGAGTAGCTCTTATGATATCATATGAGAATTGAATAATTACAGGAGTGCCTTCAGAACATGCAGATGATCCATGAAATACATTTTTTTGTCTGCTATTGTTTTACTTTTGTCTTTATTTCCCTATTGTCTTGCTTATTGATGTAACAAACGATGGCTCTTTGATATATAAATGTGTTGTCTCATAACTCCCCATAACTTAGGAATAGTCCTTCTTTAGGGCACTGATGCTTTATTTTCTTTTGGACTTTTTTCTCCCTTTTTGAACCATGCATTTCATCCTTAACCTACTTTCATTGGGAAGATTCCCTTCTAAATTTTTACTAATAAATATATTGTGGCTTTAGTGATAACATCTTCCAGAAAAGATAGGATATCTTCAAGTGGATTCCCAATATCTGAAGGGCTGAGATTTTCAGTTCCTTGAAGTGATTCTCAAATATTTAATTAAGAAGAAAAATGTGGGAAAGAGGCAGTTTCAAGCAAGGGTCAAAATCTCAAATGCCTCAGAGAATGGAGCATGAACTATAAATTAAAGAAGCAGGCTAATGGGAAATATTGGACATAAAATATAAACTAACTCAGCTGGCTGGTGAGAAACTTTGAAAAAGTGAAGACTGGCTGGCTGAATTATAGGCACAACTTTTACTCAGCTTTGGCTTAAGTTGGATGTGATCACATGGGATGTAGTTTCTGTACAGCTAGATCTTCTGCTTTTTCAAGAGAAACAAACAAAAATCTGTATTTTATGTGAACATCTCTCAATTTTAAAATAATAGCAACTAATTCAAACATTTTTAACTCTTTGCAGACTAAAAAGAATATATTTATAGGCCATATTTGGCCTATGATCCAACACCTGGGATAGAATTACCCTAAATGTGAGAAAATTATGGTATGTGAAATTATTCATTTGTTACTTTACTCATTGTTAGTCAATAATCTGATTTCCTTCACCCCACCTTTTTCTATTTTCCTACCTTTTAAAATATATATGTATTGGTTGTGTATGGACACAATTCCTTTATTTTATTTATTTATTTTTTATGGAGTGCTGAGGATAGAACCCAGTGCCCCACACGTGCTAGGCAGGCACTTGATCACTGAGCCATAGCCCCAGCCCTGGCTGCCTTTTGAATGCATTATAGGCCTCTAATGTGATTATACTGATGGTATCCATAACCAATTCTCCACCACTCCAGATGTAAGTATTGCAATTACAAGGTCATACCTGTGTGTCATTTGTGAGTTTTGGGTAATCTGTGATTTGGATACTCAATATAGAGTGAAAAGTATAGACTTGATCTAACAATAGCTTTCATAGGGTGATATTATGAGCCTTAACAACATAAAATGACCTTGCAGAAGGCTCTAGTTAGAAGTATAAAGAGGGCCTGTCTCCCACATTTTTACTTCCATAGATTTTATAACACCATAGACTATTATGTCCATACCTGACAATTAGGTTGAATGAAAGTGAAAGAACTTTTCTTGGTTTAACAGTGAAGGGGGAGACTAAGAGAAGGAAAATTTTACTAGCTATTCAAAATCAATCTGAAAATGCCAATATTCCTTTGATGCCATGACTTAAGCTAAATGACTTTTTTGAAAGTTTTTCTAGTTTTTAGCCTTAAACATTGTTCCTTGTTGTTCCTTATTCCCGTATGGCCTTTGATCTACTCATATATTATATTTACTGAGGATTTCAGGGGCCAGTGGCCCCTGGTACTGCCCAGAAAAAAGTGTGGAGAACCAGCCAGAAAACTGGGCCAGTTCCTTTCACCTTTGGTTATCTTTGGTCTAAGTAGGATCACTTTACTTTGACTCCCCCTGTGGCAGCAATGGTTGGGTAATCAGCAGAATGTCATTTAAAATTGAGGAAAATATAACTCTACTTAAATGGCAAAATTTCCCCTTATAATTTAGGTCAGTTACTGGCAAGTGGAAGAGCATCATTTTCTGGCTCTTAAATCATGGTGATGGTATAAAAATTACAAAGATATATTTCTGTGGATTGAAATGAGTTTCAAACATTAAGGCAAGCATCTTATTTTCTAAAATGCTGCCATGGTTTAGATATGTGGTATCCCCCAAAAGCTCCTGTGTTAACACAGGAGGTAAAATAATTAGTTTATGAGAGCCATGATCTAATCTGTCCATCTTAGTTTGAATGGACTAACTGGGTGGCAACTAGAATCAGATGGGGTATAGCTAGAGGAGGTGGGTCACTGGGAAACCTGTCCCAGAACGGTTCATCTTCCCACAGCCCCTTTCCCTCTCTCTGCTCCCCAGATGCTTTGGGCAGGGTGGAGCAGAGCAGGCCACACCCTTTAGCCATAATGTTCTGCTTCACCTCAGGCCCAGAGTGATGGAACTGGCCAGCCATGAACTGAACCTCTGAAACTGTGAGCCAAAATAAAATTTTCCTCCTCTAAGTTGTTCTTGTCAGGTATTTTGGTAACAGTGACAAAAAGCCAACTAACTCCAATGTTGTGAAAGAATTTTTTTTTTGTGTGTGTGTGTGTGCACGTTATTGCAATATCAAAGCAACATGCAGCTTGAGTAGCACAAATTTTTATCACTTATATTCTGAGTGCGGTTATGTCAGTCAGGAGACAGAAACGATACCTGTTATTTAAGCAGAATTTAATATAAAGTGCTGTTAACTAGGAATGAGGTTGCAACCTAAGTAGCAAAAAATAAATAACTGCAAGGGAGGTGATAGTTGCCATTCCTAAGGCTTGAAGGATAGAAGGAAAGAGGCTTAGATTATTAAAACTAAGAAAAGGTGCCCAATGGACTGAAAATCATTTCTTCAAGGTGAATCACAGGCGGGCTGGTGATGGCGACTGGTGGGGGAAGGTCAGTGAGTCAGTTTTACAAGTATTGAAAAAAACTGCAAACTGGATTCAGCTGTTACTACAGGAAAGAACTGCTGCTGCGGGTTTAAGATATGCAGCTGGGGTGATGCACACAGCAGCCACAAGCAGCCAGGAAGTCTTCAAAGGAGAGTCAGTCCCCTTTTCCTCCTCCAGCATTGCATTCTTCTTTGTAATGCTATTGGCAGAGCATACCCTGGAGCCAGCTGGCAAAGCAGAAGTGAGCTGTACAGAGTCTCAGTGCCAGCTGAAGGTAGGAGAGAGGGCTGGGAGTATCAGCACAGGAAGTTAATAACTGACACAATAGTTCTTCCTGATTCTCTAAAAAGCTCATAGAAAAAAAAAACAGTTTTTATTTTCATGTGGAAAAATGTCTCCCCCTGCCCCAAGAAAGAAAGAAAGAAAGAAAGAAAGAAAGAAAGAAAGAAAGAAAGAAAGAAAGAAAGAAAGAGAAAAAACATCTCTAGGAAGGGAGATATTGTTAATCAATTTCTTAAGCTCCATTGGCACAATATTTATAGTTTTGAGTCTTTGGTTCTGATTTTAAAGAGATTGTATATGTTTTAATAAGTCAGTTTTGCCCCCAAACATTACACTCTTAAAAAATAATTATATTAAAAATGGAAGATTTGGTTGGGTGTGGTGGTGCACACCTGTAATCCCAAGGCTGTTGGAGGAAAATCACAAGTTAGTGAGACCCTGCCTCAAAATAAAACATACAAAGTGAGAAAGGGCTGGAGAGGTAGTTCAGTTGTAAAGCACCTCTAGGTATAATACCTAGTACCACAATATAAAAAAGGAAAGCCTTGAAATTTGAAATATCACAGTTATAACTCATTTTGTGCAAAGTCAAAAACTACTGTTGAAATAAATATTAATTTCAATCTCTAATAAATTTCATGTGAATCAGAAACCCCTTTTAAAAAGTGGAAATAAACATTTCTCTTATGTGAGTAAAGTCCAAGAAAGGTATGCTGCAACTCATACCAAGGTAAGATAGAGGAAATAAAGATGGGCAGGACGGAGAAAAAAGGGAAGGATAAAGAGATGATAATTGTAAATCTAGAATCCCCATGGTTGGATTTACTCCTTGGCTCTGTTTTTTACTCTAAGTCTGTCACTCTCAAATTTCTAAGAAATCTACAAATCTTATAGTTACTGTAAAGTCACTCATTCATGAAAACTGCTTCACTTTGATTAAAGTACTTAAGTACAGTGTTAGCAAACACAATGTGTATTCAGGTTAGATAAAGCAAAGGGAAATGCATTTTAAGAAAATGGTGTCTGGGTACCATGGTGTACACCTGTAATCCCAGTGGCTCCAGAGGCTGATGCAGAGGATCCTGAGTTCAAAGCCAGCCTCAGAAATTTAGCAAGGCCCTAAGCAATTCAGCAAGACCCTGTCTTTAAATAAAATATAAAAAGGGCTGGGGATGTGGCTCAGTGGTTAAGCACCCCTGGGTTCAATCCTCAGTATCTGAGAAAGAGAGAGGAACGGATAGTCTAGGCACATTTCAAACATCTTATAGATGGGGAGACAATGTCAACCTGAGGTTCCTGAAGGAAGAGGAAACCACCATTACCAAGGTTGTTGCCACATCCTTTCCCATGCCCACCCTCACAGTTGCCTTTAAAGGAAGACTGGATATCCCCAAAGTGCATGCCTGGAGCACCTGGGCTCCATCTTCCTTTGAGTTCCACTCTGTCCTACTGTGTTTTTTCCCTGCTGCTTTACTCTCTGATGTGCCCCGGAATTCTTTTTTTTTTTATTAGTTTCTCAAAATATTACAATGATCTTGACCTATCATAAGTTTGATTCAAATGGGGTTTGAATTCTTATTTTTCCATGTGTACAGATTGCAAGTGAAGTTAGCCAATCCCTAAAAAACAAATGCCGGATGTCTTCTTTGATATAAGGGGGGGGGTGGCTCAAAGCAGAGCAGGGAGGAAGAGCCCTGGAATTCTTTACTGTGGTAAAAGAAAGTAAAGAAACCTGCCTGGGCTGAGTTGAGGTCCCCTCACTCCCACCCCTGTGACAATATGACCTAAGTTGGCTCAGGTCTGTGCTCTCTCCTATCAACAGTTATGTAGAGGTAGTCTGGTCCAAGATGTCTGTTAAGAGGTCCAGCCATCGCATCTATGTTCTAAGCATCAGTGTAAAGGGAAAGAAGAGGATTAGGTTGTGCCTCTATTCTTACAAGTCCCACCAATACTTGTACTAGCTTCAAAGAAACTCAATAGATTTTTAGCTCGGTAACATGTCCCAGCTAAAAGTTAGAGCTGTGTTAATTTAAGAGACCTGGGAAGAATAGCTGCTGGTAAGAAACTAGCTATTTCTGCCAGACTCTAGGAGGGCTATTGCCTCATAGGTCTTAAATGGGTCTATCAGGTCCTTTTTGAAAGCAAGACCCATAGGTAAGAAAGACTGGAGAGAAATATGAGGATAATAGGCTGGGAAAAGTGGCAGCTGATGAGTGGGGTGGATCAAAGATATTAAAAACAAAACCCCTTTTCTTTAGAATTTCATTCAGCCTCAGCATCAGCCTCAACTCTTTCTTATTTATATGTGCAACCATTTAAAGTATTAATATTCAATAATAACTAAGAGGAGTCGTGTTGTGTACCAACTATATTTGTTTTATTTTAAAGGACTAAATTATTTTTTAAAAGGTTTAATCACTTTTGGTTGTATTCTTTTCCCTCTTTTAGAGAAATGCCTCTAGTGCCAAGATAGATCTTGGATTTCCATGGTTATTACACTTAACTTTGTGAATTTGTCTCTCCCTTCCCATGAACCCCAAAGGGAATGGAAAAATGGCATCATATTGATAAAACGTGAGCCTTCCAAGACATTCTTTAGATGGCCAATGTGCAAATATGGTCAAAATGAAGAATCCAGGCCAACTGAGTGAACATTTCTCCACAGATGCTTGGGGTGAAGCTGGCTGGCTTTGCAAAGTGGTTCTCTTTATACACTAGCAACATTGCTTTATGATGTGTCTGGGTGACAGGCCAATTTCTTAAGTGATTTAAGTATATGTATTTAGTATTTTCCAGAACTTTTGCTTTTAGAACTAACTTATAGGGTAGAGCAGCTGACCATGCTGTGCCATGGCATACTGCCTTAGCAGAATCACTGACAGAATTAGATACCTCAGGTCCCCCAAATTTACTCATTTCCAGCAACCTCATCTTTTATACTTTACACCTTTATAAAATCATGATGAGAGAGAAATTTCAGGATGTCAGGGATGATAGGAAAAGATAAGATAAAGATTCAAATGGGATTTTAAGATGTGTCATCATGTTTGTGGTAGAGAACTTGTTTGTGTACACAAATGCTTGTGGACCATAAAGCTCCACCTCTCATCCACATGGTGATGTGGCTACAAGCTGAACAGCACGCGGCCTTCTTGGACAGGCTGGGCTCTGAGTCCATTGTCAAAACAGAGTGAACAGTCATCACTGATCTACTGCACTGCCTACCAACTCCACCCCTGGCTGGTTATGTACATTTTTTCTTCAGATGCTTGTGAAATCAAGAAAAGCATCTGTATTGCACTTCACGTAAGAAAAAAATCATCTAAAAAACCACACATATAGCAAAATAAAATGATCTCTTCTACTTGAGGAAATATCCTGTCTTCTAGAACCCCAATCTCTCTCTTCTGCTTTTCCCATCTGTGCCCTCTCCTTGCTCCTCCTTTTTGACTCTTTCTTCTCCTAAAGGGGAACATAAAGGCTGGTAAGAGCTTAGTTACACCCTCCCTTGAGGCATATGAATAGTGCATTAAAACAGGGATCAAAACTAAAGAGAAGAAGCTCTGTTGGTGGAATTTAGGCAGAATGAATAATGGAAAGAGCCACATATTGGAGCCAAAGAGAACTGGAATTGATTCCCAGTTCTGTCATTTAGAAACTGTCTTGGGTGAGTTACTTGTCTTTTCTGAGTCACAGTTTGTTTATAAAAAAAAAAAGTTGAAATAATAATACCTGCCTCATCATGATTTGAGAATTAATTTTGAAATTATGTATATGTAAAAAAAGTTAGTGCGGCATCTGGCAAGTAAATATTACTCTCTTACCTCATCAGAAAAGAAATGTAGGAATGTTGGGGTGAGTTATGGGGTTTTCTCAGTATTCTAATCTTCTGGGAACAGAATTGACAGCTGTGTGTGTGTGTGTGTGTGTGTGTGTGTGTGTGTGTGTGTGTGTGTGTGAGAGAGAGAGAGAGAGAGAGAGAGAGAGAGAGAGATGGGGAGAAAGAAGGTAGGGGAAATAGTTTAGAAGAAAGGAGGTAATTTGATTGCACTGTTTTTAAATCTGTCCTCTTGTGTACTTTTGGTGTTATTGCTTCCTTGTATCAGGGAAAATGGGAAACTAAATCATAAAGTCCTTGGTGAACAAAAATTTAGAGCAAATGAAAAAAAGTAGTTTGGGGGTTACTTTATCAATATGCTGATAAAATCCCAGTGAAGTCTTTTTACCCTATTCCTTATGTTCTTTGGGTTTACTTTCTTTTCTGGATGGTACTGATCAAGTGGTAGTTCTCTCTGAGTTTCATTTTCTATGCTGGCCACTGTGTTTGGGGCCAACACATTCTTTTGCCACATGTGTTAATATCACTGTCTTAGGATCTGTCAAAATGAAGAATAACTTCCTTCTCTGTGCCAGACCTGATTTGATACTCTGAACTGCAAAGATTCAGACTTTTCTTGGCATCAAAATATAGGAGCTGGGCTCAGATCTCACAGCTCTATTTTGTTCTTTTTAAACCTGATACCCTGTGTTTCCATATTACTATTGCTGGGTACTTGCTCTGCCTGAACTTTTGTGTTTGCTGTGGTACATGGGGTCTAGCCTCAGATCAGGTGCTTCTCTCACCAAAATCTGAATGGATGCTTTTGAGTCTCTAACCCTGATCTGGGTCACACAGAAAATGAACAAGTTTCAAGACTTCTGAAAATTTTCTTTTTGGGGCTAGATTGACAACTCATGGTAAAATTTACTTATGACTTCCCCAAGATAAAAAACTATTTAGGCTTTTGCCTGTAATGAGATCTTATCATCGTCTTATTGGTTCTTTCTTCTGGTTCATTAGGGAAAAAAACAATGGCTATGTTTTTTATAAAAAGTATTTGGACCTGATATGGTGGCACATGCCTATAATCTCGGTAGCTCAGGAGGCTGAGGCAGGAGGATTGTGAGTTCAAAGCCAGATTCATCATTTTAGTGAGGCCCTCAGCAACTCAGCGAGATCCTATCTATAAATAAAATATAAAAAGGGCTGGAGATATGGCTCAGAGGTTAAACCCCTGGGTTCAATCCTGGTACAAAAAAATAAAGCATTTGGAAGACATACATATACAAAACAAGAAAATAAAGAATGATGCATAAAGATACAGCACCAAACAACATCTGGGCAGAGAAGATGTGCAGATATACCCCCAGGATTCCTCACTGCAGGTCCATGGATATTCAAGAAGTCTGCAATACTATTATATCTCAATTAAAATGCACATCACAACTAAAAATATTGGACAAATTTCAACAACATTGGTTTCATCTACAATAATGAAAATTCTTTTTCTTTTGCTTTTACAAGAAGTCCATAGGTTTCATAGAAATGTCAAAAGGATCCATAGCACTAAAAAGTTAAGAATCCCTGAGGTAGGAAGTTTGTATGTTACTTTGCATGATCTGCTGATTTCATTAATCGAACTTTCACAGTTCTTAGTTTTCTCTTCTGTGATCTTCTCACCCTGAACTCGGCCTCTTAGTGTGTGCCATCTGTATCTGCAGTATACAGCATTTGACAATCTTTCTTTGGGCAGAACATTTCTTTCAACATCATAACAGTGCAATTCATAAATAGAAATTTTTTCATATTTATTTTAATGTTTATTGAACAAATCATGTGTGCTGATTACTGTGATAGCCAAAGAGGATACAAGTCCAATTAAAAACAGTACTGCCCTTTATCACTTATGATCTCAGGGGTGTGTATGTGTGTGTGTGTGTAATAACTTCTTTATTTATGTTCCCACCCTACCTCCGCAGATCTTGGAGACATCTGAGGTTTCATGGGGACTTTCCAACATTCCAGACAGCGGCCCTGCAATGAAGCTCTGAGTCATGGTCTTTGGGCCTAAGGTACTGTCAACAATATGGGACCCCAGGACAGCCAACCTCATTCTAAGCCTTCACTCTAAGCAAAAGCCCAGAGTGAGTCTGGCCTCAAATCAGAGCAAGCTCTAGAGAAAACCTTCTTTGTTAATGGAAAGAGAAAAGAAGGAAAAGATTTCCAACGAATTGCAACAAACTTTCCACCACTCAAAGGAACCTACCTTCCTCATCAACCAAGGCATCCTATTGAGTGACACCCATTTTAGCCTTTTGCCAGAAGCAGAGTGTGTCAATCCTAGGGAAAAAATAAAGACAAATGCTCAGAAAAGTAGACCTGGAACAGTGATACTATCAAAAAGGCCAATTAGGAGCACAATGTCGGAAAACCAGCTGAGCCTCCCTGTGATCCCATCCCGCAGGCCTGGGTTCCGGGTCTGCTACATTTGTGGCCGAGAATTTGGGTCCCAATCACTAGCCATCCATGAACCCCAGTGCTTGGAGAAGTGGCGTATTGAAAACAGCAAGTTGCCCAAGCACCTGAGGAGGCCAGAACCCTCCAAACCTCAGCCTCTCGGTGGCAGTGGGTCCTACAGTCTTACGGCAGAAAATGAGGCAGCATTTCAGAGTGCCCAGGCTCAGTTGCTGCCCTGTGAGTTTTGTGGCCGCACCTTCCTGCCCGATCGTCTCCTTGTTCACCAGAGAAGCTGCAAGCCAAAGGGTGAAGGTCCCAGAGTACCGAACCCCAACAATTCTGATGATCTTCCCAGCCCCAAGAAAGCTTCTAGTGGTATCCCAGCCCGACCAAGGACTCTCATCTGCTACATTTGTGGTAGGGAATTTGGCACACTCTCCCTTCCTATTCATGAGCCCAAATGCCTGGAAAAGTGGAAAGCAGAAAACGACAGGCTTCCTAAGGAGCTCCGCCGGCCGCTCCCACAGAAGCCTCAGCCCCTTCCAACTGGATGGCCCAGCCAAGAGGAGTCAAGTCAAGCTCAACTTGTGCCCTGCCCAAACTGTAAACGGACTTTTGCCCCAGATCGCCTTCTGGTGCACCAGAAGAGTTGCAAAGCTCAATCCAATGGATCACAAGTTCAGAATTTGACCTTAGGAAGTAAAGATGGCCTAAATGCATCCACTAATTCCAAGCATCAAAAGAACATGGCAGCACCCAGTGTGACTGATAAGGTAATTCATGCCATGTAAGATGCATTAGGTGTATCTGGGGATACATTCAGCTTCTAAGGGAATAAGAAAAAAACTGTTCCCTAAATCAGTCATCTCAGCCCCTAGGATGGTTTATTTCAATGTCTTATTTCTGCCTCAATGCAGCCTGTCCAAGTTGATCCCCATGTGGACTCTGGGGGCAATATCTCTCTTGACAAAGTAGACCTAAGAACACCCTTGCCTGGTGGGTTCATATTCCTCTTCACTTCTGCTGCCTAAAAGAGATGGACTTCTTTCTTCCCTGATCCCTCATACCAATTATCCCTGGGAGAGACTGTTATTTGAAAATGAGTCATTAATGCTGTGTCTACATTACAGAGATATAATTCCCATTCCAACAGCCAATATTTATTGCTGGTTTATTTTAGTCATCTACCTTAGGAATTCATTTTTGGCAATGTTGGGTTATGCTGAGTTTATCTTACTAAAATAGAATCTATGTCAAAAACCTCAAATGACTTTAGCAATAATTAAACACTGAAGCACTTGCAGAAATACACATGCCCTGCAAATACAACATTCTTATAACACTTACATAACAATAATAAATGGGGGATTAACCCCAGCATAGACATTGAAGCAACTAGATATATGTTTATGGTTCTAGGAGGTGCTTAATCCCACTGTTGCTCTATACTCTGTGTGTGGACTGATCACAGGGTCCTGACCCCTGACTTGAGTCACTAAATATGTATGACCTCCAGGTGTCCCCAGCTTGTATGGTGAAGAATTCTTGGACTTTTACCTGGGGTCTCACCATCAACCAGGATTGGGTAGGGATGTCAATCAAAGTGGCTACCTATAAGATAGGATAAGGTCCATGTTGTTTGTCCTGTCATTAAACCATGGAATGGATGCACTGTCTGTGTCACACCTTATCAAATTATAATACGAGATGGCAAGGATTTTTTCCGTGGCTTTTTTCTTGAATGCCCAGTATTCTGAAACTCTCCAAACCACAGCCTCTCGGCAACAGCAGTTCCTACAGTCTTCAGGCAGCAAATGAGTCTATAAATTGACCTTTGGGGCAACACAAATTACTCAAGCTGTTGTAAAAGATTAAGCCAAACAAATGAAGACGACCCTTTATTTTAAATCCAACTTTCTTTAAATTATTACTTTGGGGACTTTCTAGTCCTTGTTCTTAAATTCCATGTTTAAAATGAAATGATTATGGAATTACTGGTTTAGGAGATTCCAAGATAATGATTCTAAAGGCAGAATCAGACTAATGAGCTGGGTTAAGTTTTCCAATGAACATTGGGGTAGGGGCCGGTATTGTCTAGCTTCTTTGTATAATGAAACCCCAAGCTTTTTAAGTGTGGCATGGGTTTCAAGTTGGTCTCATAAACATGATCTGTTTTCCCCATCTTCTGGCTGTTGCTTTTCTTCCAAAATGTGTGGGGTCTGGAATCAGAGTAAAAGGATCTGCGTCTCATGGCTGCAAATCAGAAACTCCCTTAGCATTCTAACTTGCAGCCCTGTTTCTTGATTGTATGCATTTACCTCAAATGTTCTCATTACAGATCTAGAGATAGGGAGGAGTGTGGTTAGGACTCTTGTGCTTGTTGTTGTAACACATACTTTATGCTCCAAGACCGGAGCCAAGAGGCTGAGCACAACATGTACTCTCTCAGTCACACTCCTAAAAGAGGCTGGCTGGGCCCACAGTGTCACAAAAACACACCTTCCTGACTCACCCAGTCGTCTGGAGGGGAGAATGTCAGAAAGAGGACAGTGAAAGCCCTTTGGTGACTTGTACATTTAGGTGAGTTGAGTGAGGCCATATAGAGGACACTGCCATATCAACATGTACCCAACCCTGCTCTCAGGCCTGAAAACCATGTGTCAGTGGGAAACTAGCACCCACCACTGTCAAATGTGTGCTGGCCTGTTAGGGATTCATACAGGCATCGGTGGAGAGCATAGAAATTTCATCCAACGTAGGGTCCCCTTAGTTGCCAGAATTGAAACAAGCTTGGGTTAATTAAAATGGAAGAAATTTAGCCAGGCCAGTGGTACATAATAGTACCCCAACAACTTGGAAAGCTGAAGCAAGTTCAAGGCCAGCCTGAACAGTTTAGCAAGATCTTATCTCAAAAAAAAAAAATTAAAAGGGGTGGAGTTGTAGCTCAAAGTTGAGCACCCCTGAGTTCCATTTCAAATAATTAAAAAAAAAAAAAAAGGAAGATACTCCTAGCCTTCAGAAAAGCATAGATGGTTTAAGCATTGAATTCCCTGGAGAAGATGCTTGTCATTCCACAGTGCTTTTAGCACAAACCCTTTCCTTCATAGTGTAGTATTCTTTTTCAGTTGCAAGTTAATCTGGTGGAAGTTTTTCTTTCTTTGTACCATTCAAAATCTACATAGTGCTTCGAATCTCTTGTCTTCCATAAAAAGCATTACCCTATACATTATTAGATTTCAAAATCGCATCTGCCCATGACGACTAACTTTTGGCTGACTGGAGCTCAGGCATTCCTTTGTATAATTCAGATGTCTACTTCATTTCTTCTCTTGTCAATTAGAGCAACTGTCCTCTAGAACCCTGATTAGACTTCAGATTAGAATCACCTGTCTTACCTAATGTTCTCAAGGTTCCCTCAACCTGAATTGAACTCGGGTGAGGGAAATGGCTTTTCTTTTTTCCGAATTATGATTTTACTACTTGGAAACAATTCACTTCAATTGGGTGACAATGACTGTTTTGCTGGCACAGTGCATTGCCCTTTGTGTAGAATATTCCTGCAACACAGTTTGGCTCCATTCCCTCTGACACAGATGCTCCCATTATCCTTTGCTCAAATCTGAACACAAATAAGTGCTGATAAAACAAGCTCACCTCCAGGATCTCAGAAGGCATTTTCTTTGCCCTAAAACCACATATTAGTTTGAATTTGTCCCACTGCTTATCATCTGAAATATAGGCCAAGTTTACTCTTCTAATCTCACAGCAAGGTTGTGAAGAAAACTAACAGCATTTAAGAGGAATAGAACCCTGGTGTGAATTTGTATTTAAAGGGTGTGGCTGTTCTGGGACTGTTGCTCTCCCCACTATTTGGTAAAGCATTGAGCTACTTTTCTTTCCTCTGAAAGAGGAAAACTCTGGATGAACAATATCCAGTTTAGTAAGATTTAAAATGTGATATTAATGTCAAATGAAATTTTGACATATAATATAGAAAATCATAAATTATTATTTTAAATTTTAATGTTGTATCTATTTAATGAGATTTGATGTTTATTTAGTAAATGATTTCCTAAGCTATGCTGAGGAATATAATAATAGAAGTCATTATTACTTCTTATTTTATGATGAATGAATAAATGGACCCTTTATTTTAAATCCAATTTTCTTCCTTTTTTTGTTTTATTACTTTAGACACTGGTTAGTCCTTGTTCATAAGTTCCATGAAATGGAATGTCAGAAGCTGATGGTAATCTATTCTTTAGCTTTAGAACCTTTCAGAATAATGAGAACACAAATTGACAGAGTAAAATAAACAACGGCCTTTTCCTAGTTAACTGTATTAGTTAGGTAATGCTAGGGGTAATTTTCTTGAGATTTGCTGGTAACACATGAAACATTGTCCTTAAAACAAATCCTGCCCTTTATTGCTAAATAGGCATGTTTTTCAAAGGAACACTAACTTTTCTACAAACAATTGTCTCTCTGAATGTAGTTTTAAGTTCCTCTTGGCATCCTCTATGACCAGGTTTGAACTAAAAGCTCCTCAGACACATCTCTAGCATCTGGTGCTGCCATCTGGTGTTTTAAAGTGATGTCTTCTACATTACCAAATATCTTACTGCCTTTCTTCTCCTTGTTTTCCTCTCCAGATGTATTTGAGAAGGTACCCTTGTAACACAAACGCCAGTTAACATATGTGACTTAAAGGTATAAATGCTGTTTCCTGGTGAAGTATCTCTTTCTTTAAAGGTGGGAAACTCTTAGTGGGAAGGTCAAAATCAGAAAGACTGAGAAGGGTGACATGGATTTTCTTGCATCTATACATTTTGTATGTGTGCATGGGTATCTGCTAGATAAGACAAATTTGGAGTTTAGGGGAAGAATGAATGAAAGGGAATTAATTATTAATGAGTATCTTGATTAAAAAAATACTGGAGATGAAAGTTATTTCTACACAACAGAAACTTCTTCCTTTCTCTCTCTCTCTCTCTCTCTCTCTCTCTCTCTCTCTCTCTCCCCCCCATCTCCCCCCCACACACTCCTTTCTTCCTTTCTTCTTCCCTGCCCCCGCTTCACTGGTACCAAGGATTAAACCCAGGGGTGCTTAATCACTGAGCCATATCCCCAGCCCTTTTTATTTTATATTTTGAGAGGCTCGCTCAATTGCTGAGGCTTGTTTTGAACTTGTGATCCTTTTGCTTCAGTTTCCTGATTGGCTAGGATTGCAGGCATGCACCACCATGCCTGGTCAGAAATTTATTCCTAACAGTTCTTGAGGCTGGAAAGTTCAAATTCAAGTTACCAGTAGGAATGGTTTCTGGGGAGGGCTGTTCTTTGTTTCTAAGTTGGAGCTTTGTTGCTCTATCCTCTGGAGTGGGGGAAAAACACTGAGTCCTCACACGTCAGAAGGGATGAAAGGGTAGGACAGGGCTCCCTTCAACTTTGAGCCTTACCATACGGTGCTAATAGCATTCAGGAGGCTGGAGCCCTCATGACTTACCTTCCAGATACCACACCTCTTAATACTGCTGCATGGGGAACTTGGTTTCAGCAAGCTTTATGATCAGCTCTTTATATGCATAATTTTAATCTTTACAATATTGTTGTAAAATAGATATCGTATTTTCTAGTTTCCAGGTGGGAAGACTGAGGTTAAGCAACTTCCCCAAGTTACATAATGGGTTCACATGTGGGTGTCAGAGCTTAGGTCTGTCTAATTCTAAAGTAACACATCTTTTCATGTCACTATGAAAGAGTTGGAGGAATAATA